CTGATCAGGTCCAAGACCTTCATTTTAAACATATTCTGCCGATGCCAGGCACATTCCAATTGTGTAATTTTCTAGCCGTGGCATTCGTTTCTTCATATCTTCTGTGCCTTAAGCCTTGGGACTAGTATGTAATTATTTCTTCGCTCGAAATGTAGCATATCCTTATGCATATTAAGGATTTGAAGTCATAGTGACCTTGAAAACTGTTTCATTGTATTAAGGTCTATTTTTCAGAAATCTTAATTAGTCAGCAACATTAACATCTTCTGTCTAGCTTTATGAGCACATACCGCCATATCGAAAATCAATCCAGCCGATTCGATAATACCATAACTCTACTCCTTCACTATCATGCTGTACTTCAGAAAAAATTATGCTAGTCTTTCTATCAAATCATCATAAATACATCATTGAAAATCTTAACATGACTCTCCATCCTCTATAAATGACAGGACTTTACTGCACTAACGCGCTTAAATTCAACGGACTTAAACTATCACTAGAAGAAGCAACTCAAAAGCTCAATACCCAATCCCACACTAAAAAAAAAATCCGCTAAAGGATAATAATCTAGCATTATCTGAAATCATCCAATGAGAAATGGAGTCAACGGTCCTCTTAATCTAGCTCCCGCATCTAGCTCCCCCACAAACCCCATCTCATAACATACACCCCAAAACCAAATTTATTTCTCTCGAAACCTTTCTTCCTCCTCCTTCAAAAACAATTTACAACTTCAGATTCAGATAATTTCTCGATAACATAACATATCCTGACAGTATCATCATCTCCGATAAAACATCTTAAGCTTACAACATTCCAACCAAACAACAACATCATCAATTATCAACCAAAAACCCGCTCATTAAAAAATACATATACATCACCCAAACCAGAAAACCTCTCACACCATCAATAAACATGAACCCACAATCCCCCGAAAACATATCCAACTATCCCCCACAAACCTCCCTCCAAAACCCTCCCGATCTCCAAATCCAGTTACCCTCTAAAATACTCCAAGTATTTGGAATATTTATCGCTACCCTTCCATCTCTTATTCTCCTTTTCATTATAATCTAGGGTTGTATACATGATTATAATCGCATAAATAATAAAGAACGTTTTGATCTCGAAGGCGATTATTTGAATTCTAATTCTAATTTGAGTTTTGATTTAAATTCCAACGCCAATTCATCTCTTGATTCTAGCTCCACGTTCGAGAAATTAAGATGATATGATTATATATTCTGATATAAATCGATGTATAATCACAGAGGACTTAGATACACCATGCATGATACACATTAGATTCCTATCTCATACGACTTTGAGATTCATGATGGACTAGGAGGAATTGGTATGGTTTCTGCGAGAGTGGTGATTGTTAGGGAATGGGTTTAATGAGGCTGGGATTGGTTATAATGAGGTTAATGATGTATTTTTTATTTCATTTTATTTTTATTTTTTATGATTTTTGAGAGTAGATGTTGTAGTTATGGTGACGAATGTATATATGTAAGATTATTTAAAGGGGTTAATTAGCGAAAAATATACTTGTATAATAATTATATAATCTTACAAATAACTACACTTCAAAAAAGTTATTCGTTAATAATTGTAAGATCTTATGTGAATGATAATTTCATGTGAACTAATACAGATGAAAAGTTTTAAAAAATAAAATAAAATAAAAAAATGAACATGTTACACATAGGCTGGCTGGTGCATTGAATTAGCAGCCGTCCACAGAGTACGATATCTTTCTCCCATCACAATAAAAAACCGTCAGAAATGATATTTCCTCCTAGCATTCTTCTCATCTCCTCATCTCCTCATCTTCTTATCCATTCCTTCTAGTTATTAATTAGCTCCTCATAATTATATATAAAAATTCCCACACCCATCCCAAATCCATCCCTAAACTCCTACTCACCCCATCCCATCCCATCCCATCAAAAATCCCCAGAACAAAAATCTCAATACGAACAATCGATCCCTCTCACTTCCACCTTATTCCTACACTTCTTCCTATCGATAACTATCATAAATATCCAGATCTCTTATTTCTTATCAACTACATTCAAATTCCTCAATTTAAACTAAAATTATATTTAGAATTCATTAGAAGAAAACCTTACTCTCATTCTCACTCACACTCACACTCACACTCATAAACCCATCCATCCTGCTTTCAACCTATATATTCTTAAATCTATCTAAATTCATCATCATCCTCCTTCTTTTTCTCCCTCCCCCTTCTCCTCTTCTCCTCCCCTCCTTAATAATCCTTTCCACCCCATCCATTCCCATCCTCAGTCCTCCGATTTACACAAACAGTAAACCCAGCACAATCATCTAATATCTATCCAAAATACCATCTCATATACCATATCATTTCCTTTAATACTAATTCTATAATAGTATCCCTATTCCAATCTACCATTTATTCATCTATTCGCCTCATTCCCTCTCTTCGATAAAGATTCTTCAAAACCTCCAATTTATAGATGGATTATGATTAAATAGTAAGAGTATTTATATTTATATTTATATACTTCTCACTTATTATCGATCACTTAATTATTACTCTAGATCAAAAAAAACATGTCAGATCAGATCACATCACATCCCATCACAACACAATGCACTATAAAATCACACACGTCATACGAATAAAATCATCATTGGATTCATCACCCGTTCCCTCCCCTCCATACCACATCACTCTCCACTCTATTTCGCTCTCCATCCTCTATCTCCCACCCCCATCATTCTTTCTTTTTCTCTACTCCTCTATCTCTCTAACCCTCTACCCCTCTACCCCTCTACCCCTCTACTCCTCTTCCCTTTACATCTATCCCTTCCCTCCTTCCCTCTTTCCCCTTCCCCTTCTCACATTTCTAAATCTCAAAATCTCCATTCACAAACCCCCAAGTTCCCAAGTTCCCAAGTACCCACCATACAATCAAATACATCCTGACCAAATTCCCTTTCCCTCTACCCACTACCCTACCCTACCCTCCCATCTAGACACAGTTTCCTCACCCATCCATCCATCCATCCACCCACCAATCCAATAAACAATAAAACCACCTCCATCCTCAAACGAGCAAGAAAGAGTAAAAGAGTAAAAGAGTAATCTACGTAAGACACAAACAAGCCTTATTGGGTATTTTGCTACGAAAGTCCAAAAAAAAATCGCGTGGAAAAAAAAAAAGACAAACAAAATACAAGTAAAGGTATAGCAAAAAAACGACCTCCTGCATTGTTCAACTCATTTTCATCAATTCTTTCAATCCCAAAGTCACACATCATATCCCAACATCTCAACATCAGTCCAAAAAAAAACTCTATATCTATTTACCCTCAGTACTAGCAGCTGATTTCTTTCCCCAACCCCAAAATCCACCTCCGCTTGTTGGTGCCGCTGCCGCAGGCGCACTCGTGGGTGCACTCGGTGTCTCTACCTTCATCATTGTATTTCTCCAAGTTTTCGATGGCACCGGCTTGTCAAGACTAGGATTTGATTTATGCCCAAACACTGTTGGTGGAACCTCACAATTTTGCAACCCAGCCAACATTTTCTTCAAGCTCTCCAATTTAAGTTTAGCTTCCTCTGCTTCTTGTTTAGCAATTGCTTCAGCAGTCTTTGCTTGTACAAGTTCAAGAACCAATGAATCAGAATCTACTTCTTGCTTGGAAGAATGCTGCTGTTCAAAGAATGTAGAGGCGCGTGGATTTTCGTTTTCTTTGAAATTTGGTGGATGAGATATGAGGCTTGAACTTCGTTTATTGTAAGTTGTAGCCACTGAACGTTGAGAATTCGAGCGAACAAGTTTAAGTTCTCGAAGCCCTCCTGTGGTGGAACTCTTAGCACCCCATTCAACATCATGATCCCCCAAAGGTGAATGTGCACTCTTCCTGGAATTCCTCAAATCAAAAACCTGTTTCTCCAATCTTTGTCTATCTTGATGTGAATTTCGAACATGAGCTTGAGTTTCTCTGATCTGATCTCGTAAATTACTGATTTCTTGGTCTTGTTCAGCAATACGCCTGATAAATTCTTGGGACTTTGATGTTTCAATGACGAGCTGTTCTTTCGATCGACTGAGTTCATCTCGAAGTTGAGATCTCGTCAATAACATGGAAGATCCCCGATTTTCGATAGGATTTTGAAAACGATCTTCCACAATATCAAGTAGACAAGAAAGGTCCTCGGTATTAATCGATGAAGTAGGTACTCCTTCCATTCCTGACCCGTCAACGACGTCGGATACCGTAAGATTTCCAGTCTCAGCCTCGGTGACTTCATTTGGATTTACTTCCTCTGTAATTACGCCCATTTTTACTGTCTCATCACTAAAATCGCTTTCCGAGCCTTCCACAGTTCCTGCTGCAGCTCCCTTTCTCAACGCACGAATCAGTGGTTGCACAGCATTCCTGTCTTCTTCGCGTTCCTCCCTCTCCCTTTGCAATTCTGTAGCAAGTATAGCATGATCTCGTTGCATCTCACTGAGGGCCATCAAGAGATCTTCAATTTGACTATGCAAATTTCTATCTTTGTTAACTGGAGTTTTTGAAGCACTGACGCTGGCAAAAGATTGAACTCGCATTGAGGCATTATCAGGATTCGCCGATTCTCGAGAGACGCTTGTCGCATCCGTTGAAGTGCTAAGCATACTCTCTGATCCACTGCCCCCCTCCATCGAATATAATGTAGAAGCTAAACTCTGCTTCGACGGTGATCTTCTCAAGAAACTGACGGGACGTGATGGAGCGCTAAGTCCTGGACTAGGAGTGAGATTTGCCGATCTCGTGGACGAGTTTGAGCCAGCCCATAATCGTCCGAGGAATCGTGAAGCTGCTGAACCTACATCAGAAGGAATAGCAGTATCAACAATCTGAGACTCCCTATAGCCCGCTTCTAAGTTTTGAAGGCTTTCGTGTGTCACAATCCCTGTGAGACTAACGAAATCATTCACAAATTCATCAGCATTGTAATGATAAACATCCCATAAGCCCCTGGACAGAAGTAATTGCATCACGTCCTCGAATTCTGTACAAGACAAGATCTTTGTTTCATTCTTTCTCATCAATGAAAGTGCAACCCGCATAATAGTCTCCGAAGCACCTTCGGCAAATATGACATCGTAGATTCGGAAGAGCATCGGCAATGGGCAAGTAGTAGCGAAGAATGATAAAAACCACTGGGAAACGTATGCAGGTTCAACCTGTAATACATCTAAATGCGCTGATAGGGCTGGTAGATGTAATTTTAACAATTCTCGAAATTGGTGTATTCGAACGTGTAAACCAGCGAGATCAGGCAAGAAGCAATTTCGAAGGTCATAATGTTCCATAAGTCTGCATATCATTAGTTGATGTTGAGATGACTGCATAACTGGCAACATACCGTACTAGTACACAAAAGGCTTGTTTATCACCCATGTGCATCAACAAGGGACCGACAAGAAAGCCCAAGCCTTGGCAGTATCCAATCTTATGATCGTATAAACTGAAGCATTTTAGAACTCTCCCCAACATACGTTGTCCATCTCCCTCCGGGTCACGAAACATTTCTACTCCAGGGAAGCTTCGTCCTAGATCCTTTCCAATAATTCCTTCATATGGACTTGACTCGCCACAAAGTCTATCAAATTGTTCCTCCAATAGTCTATCGCGAGCTCCAGACATACTCTGCCACACTACGCCGCGCAATGGCGGGGGAATACCACTCCTGATCTTCTTCGACAATAACGTGGGCAAATATTGAGCAGTCCTTGGGTAATCCTGTACGAGTGCGGCGTAGAATTCAAGGTCGGTCATAGGAGGTGGAGGGGTGACGGAATATCGAAGGGCTGAAGGTGTAGGGCCATTGACTAATTTCTTGAGATGTTGTATGGATGGTGGTCTGGATTGAGCCCGAGCTCGTTGTTTCTCAACCTTCTGAACTTTTGCAATGCCGGACTTCGGATTCGAGGCGATGGCATTATTTTCTTGCTCAAGTCTTGCTAGCAGTAAAGCGGTGCCCTGCAACACGTCAGTAATGGAAGAATTTACGCGTCTCTCATAGCCTCACATCGTCAGAATCCTGATTCCTCGGTTGTTGTTCCTCAGTCTTCTCTAATTCCTCCCAATTGACCTCCTCCACTGAAGTATCGGAGCTATCACTCCCCCTCCTCGAGCCATTACGTTCCGATTCTGCAGATTCCGAACCTGTAGGTGTGGGCACTTCATTGCCATTAGGGTCTACCATGGTAATTCTCGGTGAGTCTTCTTGTGTGCGAGTTTCCGATCCCGTTTCCTTCCTTGTCACATCCATTATACTCATTATCGTCTGCCTTCTGTCGGTAGGAGTATTTATCTCTTCGTTCGTGTCCAGCTCCTCATTTGTAATGATCTTATCGGAATGTCTTTTCGTATCGAGTGTCAGAATTGGCGGCTCGGATAGCCGCACTGTGACCATAGAATCATGCTGGGTAGCTTGTCCCTCTAACTGAGCTCCAGCTTCCGCCCGGATTCTATTCAGATTGGACTCCATTCGAGCCTAGAAGTAGGAAAACGAGCGTCGTTGCGGTGAAATAAGATAAAAAGGTCGGAATGACAATAAAGGCACCCCAACCTCTCTTCGAAGTTTGATTCACTTTGCTGGAATTAGACAATCAAAAAATCAACCTTTGCCCTTCGCCCTTCACCCTTATTTTCTTCTCACTCTCACACGCAAACCGAAATTCGATGGATGACGACCCGAGGTGAAGAGAAGAACGACCAAACAACCAGCAGTTGGATGTAACCCGAGAAGCTGATTTGTTACTGGATGCACAAATCGACGAAATCCAGTCAATGTAGTGTGGTAGTAGTAGTATGTTTACAAGCCGTCACACTTGAATTGATTGTCCGACACCAGAGGAGGGAATTGGCGCGCGCACGGAGATCGGATGTTTGATGTGTCAAGGAAGCGTGGGTGGTAAATGCAATGCTGGATGGCAGCCGTTAAAAATTAAAAGTAAACCGGGTTATCGTGAGGGTCGTGAAATATGGACAAATCGAAATGAGGTACAGAGTACGAGTACTATTTTGGGGAAAAAGGGGTGGGTGGGATGGATGGATGAATGGGTGAGTGAGTAGATAAGTAAGTGAGTGAGAGAGTGAGCGAGTGAGTGAGTGAGGAGTGAAATTGGAATTGAAAATTGAGTGATGACTGAAAAGAGAGACTTTTCTTATTATGAGTATGTGTGTGTTTGCTGTAAAGCTATATTTCACTGAGCGGAAAGAAAAGAAGGTACTGTATCAAGATGGTATTTTTTTCTCTTTCAATATACATAACATAATGGGTTGGATAGGCAATTGTGTTTATGCTTGTTTATTAAATGCAGATAAAATACAGTCAGTCAGTCAATCAGTCAATCAGTCAATCAGTCAATCAGTCAATCAGTCAGCACTCGAGTATGATTAAAAAGGATGGAGAAGGAATGAGTGAGTGAGTGAGCGAGTGAGTGATGGGAATATAATAAGCTAGGATGCGGCGGTGAGATGCAAAATCAATTTTTGGTAAGGAAAGGTAAAACGCTTATAGGCCAATGGCCCATTCATTATCCTCTGTACAATTCCAAGGTGGGTTCCGTGGGTGTGAAGCTTAAACAAGCAAGAACGAATGAAAGTCCCAACCTTGATTTGACAGGGGAACCCAAGATCGAAAGCTTACATGTGAGAGGACAAGCATAAGGGGTAAGCAACTCTAATTTCAGGGGAAATGTCACACTTTTTGGCCTCTCTTATGCATGATACGTTGACATGTGCTGGGTATTTATCCACAGGTAACCCTGCTATCCATCCACTATATCCATCCATCCAGTTTTCATAACATACGCCATTATTCTACACAGAATACTTAATCCCACCATCATGTATTAACATCTAGGAACGATTAGGTATAGTGATGACGGAGGCTGATAAAACCGAGTTAAGTGATACCGAAGTCCACGTCAATGATAGGCCGGATCATTCTTCTAATATAAATACCCCTGAACTAACTCTTCTCTTTTCGTAATAGTAGTGTGCGCTAGAAGCTAGAAGCTAGAAGCTACCAACATTATGGCAACACATATCACTAAAAGAAAAATGTTAAAAATGTTAAAAATGTTAAAAATGTTAAAAAGGTTAAAATATCATCTGTGTGCCTTTAACTTTCCCACTCATGACATAGTACCTATCTATTTAATCAATCTAGAGCACAACGTAGTGGAGTAAATAAAACGGTAATTTGAGTCTGGACTAATAAATGATGAATAATATCCACGTAACATTTTATATCTACCTACTAGGTCGGTCCTGTACACAGACTAGACAAATCGGATCATTAATCGCCACTCAAAAGTTAATGAGTAAACAGAGACTCATACTCATACTCACCCATCAACCATTTATTAATCTCATATAATCTCTATCCCCCTCTCTACCCCCCTCTCCATCTCCATCTCCCTCTCAAAACCTACTCCACACTCCAAACTCCAAACTCCAAAAATACATAGTACCTACATACATACATAATCACCAACTCCGCGCTTAACAAATACCCAATCTCAATCACCCACCCAATCACCTCAATTTACAATTTCTACTTCACACCCATCATAACCCTCCCTACCTCCATACCTACCTATCAACATCCCAAAACTCCAATCCAAACCCCCAATTTCCAACTTTAACCTTCGCACGCACAAAATAAAAAAATGTATGACTCTGTAATTCTTTAGTAAGCTATCCTGGAAGGAAGCTAAGATTAAAGATTAGAGATTAAGGTTAAGATTAAATTTGATGATACAAAGATGATAAGATCAGATCAGACTGGATGCTGTGTACGAAAGGATTGATCCTCCTATGTAAAGCTAAAAATAGTATTAATCATCATATGTTTCGAAACATTTCAAGTAAAGTTGTTCACACCAAATAAAATCCTCTTACACAGAAAATATATTGATAATCGATATACTATATGCACAAGATTATCTACTAAAAGAGTGTGGCGAGAAACAAACCTCACTCCATTCGCCTTCACAAATATTCCATGAAGTCTCGCACTGCCGTACAAATTGATATCCTGATGTGATAGGAGTAGGCAATGCGCTAAAGAGCCTTTCCTAGAAGACTAAATCAAAATGAATAGTAAATATCCCACCCATTAACGCCGAAACCTGGAAAAGACATCATCCACTCATTCGCTAAAGTCATCCTCGCTTTCATCATCTTCCACTAGTGCAGACTCATCAACATCGTCATCATCTTCCTCATCATCCGAGTCGATAGTATAGACTGGTTTCTTGGGCTTGGCAGCAGCAGTTCTTGCCGGACGACCACGGCCTGCGCGTGCAGCTGGCTTGGGTGGAGAATCGACCTCATCTTCATCCACGTCCTCATCATCGCTAACTAGCTCCTTAGCTGCAGCTTTCGAGCTTGCGGCACGCTTGGGAGGAGGAGCGATGGAATCATCCTCATCATCACTAATATCTGACTTCTTGGGGGCAGCCTTGGATTTGGCACCCCTCTTGGAAGCAGGGGCAATTGACTCGTCCTCATCATCGCTGACGACGAACTTCTTGGGGGCAGCCTTGGATTTGGCACCCCTTTTGGGAGCAGGGGCAATCGACTCGTCCTCATCATCGCTGACGACGAACTTCTTGGGGGTAGCCTTGGATTTGGCACCCCTTTTGGGAGCAGGGGCAATGGAGTCTTCCTCGTCGTCACTGGTATCAGTCGTCTTAGAAGCAGATTTACCTTTGGGAGCTTTTTTGGGTGGTGCGGCATCTTCCATTCCAATGTCTTCATCTGATCCGTCACTGATGGCATATTTAGTAACAGTTGTCTTTGAGTTGGCTTGTCTACCTTTGGCGGCGGGCTTTGGCGGCGGTGATGACGCTTCCTCCATGTCCTTCTCCTCACTTTCATACTCACTATAGCCGATTGTCTTAGAAATCTGCTGGAGGCGGTTTTGTTTCGCTGCATATGCCTTCGCGGCTGGTGAAAGAGGAGCAGGCTTGGATTCTGCAACGGCAACTTGCTTCTTAGCAACAGGCGCTTTCTTAGGCTTCGGTGCTTCTTTCGCTGCCTTTGCTTTCTGAGCAGGAGCCTTCTTCGGGACGATCGGAATAATGTCTTCGTCAGAAGACAAAAGACCATCAACCTCATCTTTAGCCGGAGCCTTTTGAGGGGAACTTCTAGCAAGCATTTCATAGTTGGTCTCGTCTTCGGAAAGGTCGATTACCTTGCCAGGCTTAGGTTTGGGCTTGGGTAAACCTGTGCTGCTACCAGGTCTGTCTCCATTACTTGTTGACATCGCAAACAAGGAAAGTCTCGAACTTCCCGTAGCAGCGACTTCTTTATCGTTACCACCAATGCCCTTGACCATATTATCAATATCGCCAAGAAGATTGTCATCACTTTCACCCTCCTCATCATCATCCACTATCCATTTCTTTGGTGCAGCAGCTGCTGCACGCTTGGTTCGTCCAGCACCGGCATCAACTTTAGGGGCATTCGCTTCTGGAGCCGCCAACGCCGCAAAATCATCATCAGACATGCCCGAATCATCGCCACCATCAAAGCGCCCAACTGATTTCGATTTAGGTTTGTTAGAGAACATATCCATGAAACCCTGATGGGGCTTGCTCTCAACCTTTGTGACTCCCTTCATTGGGTCGGCTTTCAAGGCCTTAGCTGGAGCCTTTTTCTTTGCACCAACAGTAAATTCCTCATCTTCATTCCTGGGCCGACCTCTACCACCAGGCTTTCCACCGGCTCCAATCTTGTTTGAACGACGTCGGTTTGTGTTGCGAATAGCCTTGCTAATCTCAGCATCTTGTTTGAGTTGGTCTTCCCACTCTAAGACAAATGCATCAAGATCTTCACACCACAAGTCTTTTTCACTGAGCCTTTCTAGTGTGTCAATTTCGTCTTTCTTGTCGTCCTTCTGCTTGTTTAGTTTGTCGACACGTTCTTGGGTAAGAGACCAAATTGGCAACTAGTGAAAAGTCAATATGTGATCACAGGGTGAATGCCAGGTTACTCACGCCGAGAAGATAATCAAAGTCTCTAGCTCCAGCATCTTCATCAATGCCCACTTCTTCCTCATTTTCGACTACATCATCGGTTTCGCCAGCTTTCTTTGCTTCGCTGACCTTGGGAAATCCCTCATACCCGCGCTTTCGAAGTTCTGCAACAAGGACTGGCTTCTTCTTCTTCGAAACAATCAACTTATTCTCGATAATTTCAGTCACGAATCGGGCTTGGTTGGTGAGCTTGCGATATTCCACATTGAGTTTGTTCACCCAATATGCTTTCCTAACAGTGTACATCTTAAAACGTTGCTCGTAAAACTCCTCGAGGATATCTTCAACTTTCTCGTACTTTCGAATTTGACCCCTGTGGTCAAAGGCCACCAGGTTAGAAGTAGCGACGGTCTTGTTTAGCTTGAACTTTTCCGCTAACCCCTCTACCAGAGCAGCCTTCATATGTTTGTCGTCCATCTGGATGATCATATGCACAGTTTTGTGGTCGTTGAATTCCTTATAATCTTTGATGAATGACGGAACCTTTTCGGCTTTGATAATCTCCTCAAGCTTAGCTTTAAAGTCGTCGGTCCACATGCGAATAGGTAACTCTGTAATCTCAACTTCAGTGTCGCCAGTCTCTCGGATGATACCATTGAATTTGTAACGATCTGGACCGGCAGGTTCAGCAGTGCCCTTCCACCCCCGGAACCACGGCATCATTGTTTCAAATGGTTTTTCTTCACCACTATCATCTAGACGACCCATGCGGCGCTTCAGGTTATTTACAATCTCCACGGGATGATAATTTGGAATGTTTGTACTCCAACCAGTACCAATACCATCAGCGCCGTTAATCAGAACCATAGGAACAACTGGGAAGTAAGTGACAGGCTCAATTGAGCGACCATCATCAACGTTGTATTCCAAAACCGGGTCATCAAGTGCAGAGTATACTCGTCTGGCAAAGGGTGATAGTCTTGTGAAAATGTAACGAGCGCTAGCAGCATCGCTACCTCCCTGAAGTCTACTTCCGAAATTTCCACTTGGCTCTAGACAGTTAACATTGTTCGAACCGACAAAATTTTGAGCAAGGCCAACAATAGTCATTTGCATCGAGGCCTCACCATGGTGATAGGCCGAGACCTGACTGACGTATCCAGCGAGTTCAACAACTTTCATGTCATTTGTAAGGTTGCGCTTGAAGCAAGCATACATGACTTTCCGTTGTCCAGGCTTAAGACCGTCAATGACGGAAGGAATGGAACGGAGGTTATCCGCCATACTGAAAAGAATCAACTCCTTGTTGATGAAGTTATCATACGTGAGCATTTTATCCGTGTGGTCCAGGTAGGTACCGGGGACAAAGTTTCCTAGCCATGTCTTACGAGAATCTGCTTTCTTCTTCGAAAAAGCAAGATCCAACATCTCTTCTTCTTCTGGTTTAATGACTTCAAATTCCCTTAAATGGACGTCAAGATTGCTGAAATAGATTTGCGCATCTTCAGCTTTGCTTGTACCCAGTCCCTTATAGTATTTATGCTTCCATCCCTTGTCGTTAGCATGAGCTTCTTTCCATTCCTCGTATTCAGGTATGGTGAAAAAGGATCGCAAGTTCGTAGGCTTATTGGGGTTTGGTCCTTTCCATACTTTAACAATTGGAGTAATGAACTCTCGGAAGAACTCGGGCAGTTTCAGTAAACTGGGATACTGCACTTGTAAAAAGTTGATCAACAACCCTTTGATATGACTACCATCGTGATCCTGATCTGCCATGATCATTAGATGTCCATATCGAAGACCTAAAGTGTCCTTGTAAACGGTTTTGTGCTTTAACCCCAAGAATTGTTTGATATTCTGGATTTCAGCGTTCTTTGCAATCTGGTCGTGTGAAGCATCGCGGACGTTGAGCAGTTTTCCACGAAGAGGGAAAACACCTATACGGTCTGGATCGAGAACAGCTCGGCCAGCAACTGCAAGACCCTTGGCAGAGTCACCTTCGGTGAGAATCAAGGTGCATTCGTGGCCACGCTTTGTTCCAGCCAAATTTGCATCCACGAGCTTGGGATTATTCATACGTGAGCGCCTATTTCCATCACTCTTTGCCAATTCCAAATCGGCCTTCTTTGCTGCGAAATTGAGAATGTTCTCTACAGCTTCGGTCTTGCCAATCTTCTTCAAAAATTCCTCCGTTAAAGTGCATTTGGACCCGAATTGTGGTTTTCTCGTAGTCAATTGCTCTTTTGTTTGCGAGGTAAAAGCAGGGTTTGTAATGAGACAGTTGACAAACAAAAAGATATGATTGCGAACTTGGTTTGCCTTCAAAAGTGCACCTTTAGGATTCCTTTTCTTTACGACCTCTAGCAACTTATCGCAAATCTGATCGGCAATATAATTAACATGAGTGCCACCGGAAGTTGTAGCAATTGAGTTGACGAATGATACTTGTTGGAAGGAACCATCGGAAACAGCAAAACCGACTTCCCATTTTGGATGACCTTTTGAATCCTCGACGATGACGGTATTTGCGCTTGTATCTTCAGAGCCACGTTCCTTGTTGATTGCCTTGGCGTACATCTCGATGTACTTTTTGAAGTCAAGCTTGATCTGTGTTCCATTGAGGTAAACTTTGACACCTTTGACAACACCAGCCATGTCATACACTCGGCGCTTCACCATGGCCTCGAAATCATCATCAATTCCTGTCATCTTGAATTTTTTCCAATCCGGAGTGAAGGTGACTCTAGTAAAATCGGCATTTTTGCTAGATGAGATCTTCGCCTTGCCCATTTTGCTCATATTATCTGCCCAGGTTTGCTTATACCTCTTGCCGCTGTTAGAGTCCTGTGTTTCCAACGTGAATTCGGTACTGAAAATGTTACAAAGCTTTGCTCCGTAACCATTACGACCACCAGTTGTTTTGGCTTCATCATCATCGTAGTTGGAACCAGTGAGGAGATGTCCAAAGATCATCTCGGGGATGTAAATCTTTTCTTTCTAGATAGTGTGTTAGTATCTCATATCTCAGATAACATTTTGAGAAACTGGAAGCAGATCCATGCACTCGGTCCAAAATATTATTGGCATGATTATCATCAACAACCCAAATGGCTACGTGATGAATTGTCTCTAACAACCACCCGCTAACATTTATGAACAGAAAGATAAACGACTTACCTCGTGGATTTCAACTGGAATACCTCTACCGTCGTTCTCAACACTAATTTCACCCTTCTCACGATCCACAACCACCTTTAAATTTTTCATGTTAGGGTCGTTTTGCTTGTTGTCCGCGGCATTGACCATAATCTCGTCGAAGATCTTGTACAGACCGGGGACAAATGTGACCTTCCGAAGCTCCATCTCCTTAGTCTCTGAGTTGAATACCCACATGGTCTGCTCTGTCTTCTCAACAGAGCCAATATAGGTATCTGGACGCTTGATGATGTGCTCTAGTTGAGTGAGTTTCTGGTATTGTTCCGTGGAAGTTTTCGTCTTCTTTGGTTTTGGTTCTATCTCCATTATGCTTTCGTTCTCAATATCATGCAGGGCTTCACTACTCTGTCTTTTGGCAGCGGGAGCTTTCTTCTGCTTCTTCGAATTTGGCGGGGTGTTGGACAACTGGGAAGCAGTGTTTGAGGAGTCGTTGTCCGATTGTTGGTCCTCATCATCGCTTCCAGACCTCGCGCGCTTTTTGGGGGCCATGTTAAGGGTGGTTTGTATGGTTTTTGCTGTTTTCGTGGCCTTGGTGGCCTTTGGGGCTTTCGGAGCTTTTGGCTCCTTTGCTGCCTTTAGTGGTTTTGCTTTTGGTTCTTTCGCTTTTGGTGCTGCAGTTTTCTTTACAGTAGTCTTCGATTTAGCTTTCTAGGTGACAAAGTTAGTTTAATGTAGAGGATTGAGCAAGTTGCTAGGCCGCACGTTTGTGTAACTAAAAGGTATTGCAACGACTTACTACGGGAGCAAAGTTATCAGACTCATCGTCCGACATGTGGAAGCTCGGCACATCGCTCATCGAGTCGTCATCCATGGTGAACTAAAGAGAGAAACAAATTTGCCTTAAAAATTAAACTGTAAAAAAAGTCCCCAGGTCAGAGGATGGTAACACAATAAATAGAATTCCCTACAATCTAGACGAACCTTTTTTTTTAAAAAAGAAAAACGACTCGATCAAGAAACAGGTGATCAAAGTTAGCCAAAATGTCCAATGTTTTGGCTGCAGAAAGAGAGTGTGTGTATGACCATAGGAAAACCTTCCCTTGATCTTCGTCTGTCAATGGACTTTCGTGAATCTCCAAAAAGGTAAATAAATAAACAGTGAGAAATCGCGTCTTGAGATATGCTAGTACGGATATAGTAAGGCTCGTGAGCAAGGGTTTCATCTACCTAGCCATAAATAGACTAGCCATTCGTGATTCGTAATGGCCTGAGGTTGCCAAATCAGAAAGAATTATTGGTCTTTTGGTCTTTTGGTTATTTGGTCTTGATTCCTGTCAGATCCTTCCGAAGATAGATTTTGTACCTGCATGGCCCAGATAGGTATGGTTTACCGGTTTATCCATATAAAGTAGAGGTGGAATAAGTGGACCAATGGATTTACTTCGCCATGTTCATCTGGTATTTTGATCTCGTTACTGTTTCTTCCCATGCACTTTGCCTTAATCCTCTTCTCTCGCAAGTTATATCTTGTCGTACAAATGAGGTCCTGTGTATTGCACTCCTCACTGCTCTACCTTGGACAGTAGAGCATGTACTGGTGGTTACTAAAGATATCGCGAAAACTAGATATTTATCCGAACAGTTTGATTTTGTTTCTTCCATGTACTCTCAAAAGAGATGCTCAGCCGAAGAGAAGAAGAAAAAGAGGGTGATAAGGGAGAGCGCGAGCGACAAAGGAAATGCTGAGGTACTGTACAGGATCTTCTTTCATGATTCGTCCTACTCAATTAAAACTTGACATCGGAAGACTCACCTCTTGCGTTACTTCGAACAGAGATTTCACGTTGAAAAAGATGTTTCCGATGCGAATAATGCATCCTGCCGACGTCTTCCTCCCGTATTGTTATACAAATTCCTTAAAATGGATCTGGTGTACCAAGGTTCATTGTATCCACGCGTTCTCCACGATCTGAAACTTCAACGGCTGTCAGAAGATCATCCGGTATAGCTTAGAAAGCAAGACTTCCCAGAGTAGGACTGACCCTCAAGAGCGGAGTGTATCGTATCGTATAGCAGGGTAACTGGCTGAGTTTGGTTGATCGCTCCTCTCCTGAATGCTATGACGATGGAGGAATGCTGCTTGCAATTCGGGAAGGTCGCGTGCAAGATGATGATAACCTGAATATGTGTTTTATCTCTGATTCACATATTCAATAAGACCAGGTTGGAATCGAAACCCGAGGACGTAATAACAGGACAAGCCATTGGGTCTCACAAAGTTCATCGAAGCAAAGTAGCCCTTCCCTTTTCTCTTCATTGCATGGAGATCTCATCGAGTCTCTTCCAGGGGCTGTGGGCATTACAACTAGGCGTAATGACTTGCATAAGGCGCATATTGTCCTATCGGTTTTTCTCATTAAACTTACCCTTCTTCTTCGTTTGTCCGGGTGCATTGACGACAACGTGGTTGGCCTATGGCATGGCGATTTTGCGACAAGGTCGACGGGTAGCTGCACCTTTCATCCAATTTGGGTCACCCGCACTGACATTGTCTCAGCAACTGCGACTCGAGGATGTATTGGTACAGTAACATTCAGAAATTACTGATTAGACAAGGCTAGCTAACTCTACTGCGAAGATTATTCCAGATATCAGCTTCTTTGTCTCTAAACCCCGGCTTCCGTGTTTGTTTCACATTTTTCCTCCCTTCCAGCTCTAGCTTGCTATATGCCATCTCATCTTCTGAGTTATAAATCTCCACAAAATGCCAGCCTGGTTGCCATGTCTTTATGACGTGCACACTAATGACCATTCTCATCACCAAGCTGGAGCAGTAGAGCAGCCAAACACGCATCCCGGCTTTGCGCTTACCTGCATATTCCCGTAGAGTTTACCATGCTTTTCAAGTGACAGCTGCGGTACTAGTCCTCGCATCAGCTGTGTTATCAGAGGATTTTTATCATTTAATTCTCGAAGGCCCGTAGAAGTTCTTAGGGAAAAAAGTAAAATTTGCTTTTATGTGATAATTGCGGATGGGGACATGATGTTTATTTAAAGCATTTCTATTGAGGTGTTTTTCAATCTCAACTGATATTATGAGAAGTGATGGATGGTACCCTCCTTCCAAATCCAGGAATTGATACTCATAAATTGATATGTTATTCTCTAGCATATTTACTTTCCGAAAGAGACATCGTTACCGTAAGAGATGTGTTGTCCACGTGCATCGAGTCAATCAATCTTGCTTTAGATAGTGCCAGTCATGATGGATTGATTTCTTTGTCTATCTTTGAAATTGTGGCTTTCACTCACTGCAAAATCACCCGCAACTACTGCAGCCAACCGGCCCAAGACATCTCGGCCAGCAGATACGTTCAGCATTATTTTGATATCCACATCCAAACAAGCCATGTTCCCGATCGGGCTGTAGCACAATATTTGTTGTTGTCAAACTTAATTGATCAGCCTGGCTTGCCATCCCTGTGCAGTCACGCAGCCGATTTGATGGTACTGAAGTCGGTAAATATTGCTTTTTTCTTAGTGTAGTGAAACGTCTTGCCTCGATATGCTCTGCAATCCATATGCGGGTTGCTTTGTGGCCGTGTTGGCTTTTTATGTTGACGGGCACGGGAGCGGCGAATCTGAATAGAAGCTTCTTAAAAGTCGTTTGGATTCATCGCCTTGCCATCTCGGCCTTTGTCAATCCAAGGATTAATCCCACAACCTTGAAGCTGTAGACATTTGATAGAACTCATTTCCTTCGGCGTGTTGGAATATCAAGTAGGCCATCCCTACCCAACTTACCCCGGAGTCTGCAATTGCTGAGTGGATGCCTCTTATTTTCGAGCTTTGGAAGAGCGGTGGGCATCGACAAACGGACGATTCATCTTCTACTGGTCGGTTCTCAGACAACTGCCAACAAAGACTGCCTCCAGTTCGAGAATATCAATTTGACCCAAAGACATCCATCCTTGGACTGCAGGAACTGCATCGCTAGTTGTCACCGAAGAAAGTGAAGCTGTTGAAGCTCATTAAATATTGTCCCTCAAATCTGTTCATAAGGACCCAAGAACATTCAATTACCTGTTTTTCTGTTTGCCAGGCTCAAACACTAATTAATTTTCATTTACTGTACCGAGAAAATTTTGAAATTACCTGGCCGCCTTTCTTTTTGAGAATCCGTTCGCTATTGCAAAAAAGAAGGCATCCAACCTGCAGATTCAGAGGAAACAGATTCTATTGAACTCATTTCCATCACTCACCGCTCACCATGCTGTCCGTAGCATCGCTACTCAATCCTGCGAAGTCAGAACCGCGAAGCACTCGATTACCATCAAGTCCTCCATCATCGCTGTGCACATCATCGCCCTCTTATGGACATCCTCTCTTGCCCATTCAATCCTCATTCATCAAGAAACAAAAGATGACTAAGGACGGTGCAGTTTTCGCCAAGGGTACTAAGATTAAGGGCGATGTAAACTTTCCACCGTTTGAACACCTGAGCGAAGAGACTATGCGGGAAGTCCAAAAATTCCATGTGTATCCACTTGGTAAGATTCAGGATTACTGCCGCCATATTCCTTATAACAGCGAGAAAAAAAACTTTTTGGAAAAGACTGGTCGGGAGAGCTTCGAAGGTACGCTTCTGTCTATGCAAAGCTGACTCCTTTCCGATAAGCTTACCAGAGTTGACGTTTTTTTACTTGCAGTATTTCAGTACGTATTCAAAGTGCCTGGTGATGACAAGGATTACACTGTTATGTGGGATTATAATGTCGGGCTTGTTCGCATCACTCCTTTCTTCAAATGTTGCAAATACTCTAAGGTAAGCAGGCTTCATCTCATTAGGCTGCGTGTACTCATGATGGCTAATTTGATGTGTTGATTTACAGACAACTCCGGCGAAGATGCTTGGCTTGAACCCAGGCCTGAAGGAAATCACGCACAGCATCACTGGTGGCGCTCTAGCAGCACAGGGTACGTTTTCATCATTTTCAAACTCTTTCTTCATCAAGAATCAACATCAAATGCACGGTTCTATTTCTCTGCTATCAAACGTTCTAAAATCCTTCCATGATTATCACAATGCAACAATAAATGGCAGCTAAAAATCCATCACTAATTACATTCCAGGTTACTGGATGCCATACTCCTGCGCCCTCGCCGTTTGCACGACTTTCTGCTCGCATATCGCTCCAGCTCTTATCCCCATCTTTGGTCCCTCCTTCCCTTCTCAGTGCGTCGTACCCGACGCTCCAGAACACGGCCGTATGATCATCGACCCCCACATCATCCATACTGCCACTGCGGAAGCCGAATCTTATCGTCTCCAATACACATCCCTCACCCCCAAATCATCAGCCAGCGTTACACCCCGCGATTCTGCCAGTCCTCAACAACAAAGCTCCAATTACATGGTACGCACAAATACTATGACGCCGCCTGCAAGTTCAAGCAGTCATCTCGAGCGAAGACTAAGACTCAAGAGAACGTACGGTGGTGAAAGCCCATATGCGGAGAGTAGCACTGATCACGATGCTACGAGCGAGACATCCAGTGGTGATGCTGCGTACTTTTGTTCGCCAGTAACACCAACATCTGGTCTCCCCGTTACGAATTGGGGAATCCATACACGATCGCATCTTCCTAGTGGTCCTTCGCATTCCTTGTCTGCTGCGATGAATCATCATCAGCATCAGAATATGAATTCTCATTCTTCCAACTCGGGAATCAGTATGGGGATGGGGAGTCACGGATATGGCCACGCTTATAATCATGCACATACGCATAATCGTAAGTTGATGAATACACACATGGGTGTAAATGGCGCCATGATCGTTGGGCCCACCGGTACAAATCCATGGCTAAGTGCTATCCCACGAAGCATAGGTGGGCTAGCCGACATGACAGCTGGATGGAGAGCTAAGCGATGCGCAGAAGAACTGGAAGAAAGTGTTTCTGATGAAAAAGAACAAGAAAGACAAAGAGTAAAAGAAAGAGAAATCCAGCGTCCCCATCCTTCAGACGAAGAATACGACGGCGAAGAAAGCGCCAGTCCAACTGGTGATGAAAAGAGTCCCAGCCGCGACGGCAAAGCCGTTACACTTGACACACCCTTCGCCACCGGCACAAACTTGGCTTCAGAGCAAAACCAAAGTAACACTGAAGCCCACCATCAAGTACCTCAAGACAAATCAACAGTCGCAGCAGGCGATGAAAAGAAAGCAGCATGGCTCTTGATGAAACTCAGTGTTAAAGATGGGCAAGTCGGCGCTGCATCACCTATACCCCTCTTACCTAGTGTATCTGCACTTGGTACACCAATGATGGGGAGTTCGAGGTGGTGTAAAGATGAAGTGAATGGTGATGGGCCTAGGGTTAAGAGGAGGAGAGCTCTTAGTATGTGAGCTGATTTGATGTGATGTGATAGGTGTGTTTGTGCACTTCGTTGCTTGGTGTTGAGATGAGTATTTGAGGTGTGGTGATACGGTACATGGGTACTTTGATTTGATTTGATTTTTTATCTCATCCATCGATCGAGAGACGGGATGGGGTGGGGGGTGGCAGGGAGAGGTGTTTCTTTCTTTCCTTTTCATTTGAATTTTTGCATGCATGCATACATGGTTTGCGCATTTTGATCTCGATATTTTCCGACATTTCAAACTTTTTTCAAATATTCCCAAATATTTCCGAGTATTTCCAAATTTTCAACATTCGCTTTCATTCAGAAATCAGGCTGGGGGATAGAGTAAAAGGAGTAGAAGGTAGCAAGTAGAAGGTCAAAGGAGAGTAGAGTAGAAAGGGGTTTAGTTGCGAAGGTCAGGAAGCTTACTGGGATGGAATAAAAATGGCTCAAAGAATGGGGAGAAGAGAGGGGTTGTTCATATTCAGGGATTTGGCTTGCGGTTTTGCATTGTATGTATTTATAGGTATGTTGCGGGTTTGAAGCATTTAAATGGCTATGTATTTTTGTTTATGTCTATGTCTGTTTATCTTTGGAGTGATTGAGGGTTTGTGAGGCCCGTGAAGATTTATCTATGTAGTAGGTGACTGACTGTATGTCCTCTCATTAAGCCCTCACACATGAGCTTTAGAGTCTCAGATTTCAAGTCAATTGCAGTGTATGGTAATCATAAAATCTTCTTTAAATACTAATCTTAAGATTTCATTTAAATCGCTGTTACATTTTTTCTTTTCCACCCTTCTATCCATCCCGCTGCCTTTTGCTTTGGCACTACATATATACTCACAACACCATCCACCACTTCCCCACCACTCAAAACCTTCAACAGAGTAACTTTTCTTCCCACCTTAATCAGCGAGCCCTTTTTCTTTTCCACATAACACTCCACCACCTTTCCATCTCTATACTCTCCCTTAACATCCCACGGTAACGGTAATATGTATTCCAAATGTTGTCCCACGGTATCCATCTCATTAAATGACTTTATGAAGTCCGATTCTGCTGCAAGAGGGTATAGTAAAAGAACTGGGAATGATAACGTTGAATTGATCGGATCCAAGGCATCGGGTACTAGCTCGATCTTCGCGTCCTCCATTTCCGGTGGTTTATCCGTCATTCGTAATGTGATTTCCCTCGCCGCCAATGATGTCTTTAATATCCTCTCTTCATTTTTCTCCCTTACCAATCGTTCAACTTCCTTCTTCCTCTTCGCCTCAATCTCCTCATTCTTCTTTAGGATCTCTCCAGCCAAAACTAGCAATGCCTTATCATCTCCCGCTAATCCTAGCCCTTTTGCGCATGCATCGTCCGCCTCCTTTATCCTCCCTAACGCCAACAATGCCTTCGCACTCCTATATAACGCCTTGGTATTCTTATTATTGATCCTCAACACCGCCCCGCAATCCAAGATACAACTCCTATAATTCTTCAATCCCAAATGAGCCATCGCCCGATTCACAAGCAGCACCTCTAACACCTTAATCTCCTCAACCACCTCGTCCTCCCTCTCCTCGGGCACATCCCCTTCCCTCTTCTCCCCTCTTTGCCTCCTTCTAACCTCAGCTAACAAAATATTAACTCCTTTAGTATAAAACTCCTTTGCATCCACCAATCTCTTCTCCTTAAAACTATCATTTCCCTGCTCTTTGAAATTCGTCGCGACTTCTAGAGGTGTACCTTCGTAGGCTAGTGCTTTGAAAGCTTCTAATTCGTTGTTTTCTTCTAGTTCGGTCATGAACAACGGAGTAGAGTTTAGGGATTTGAGAATTTCGGGTCCAGATTTATCGCGCAGGGAGGCGAGGGAAGGAGGAAGAGAAGGGGTTGTGGAGGAGGGGTCGGAGGGGTTGGAGGGAGCAAAGCCGGGGAAGGCGGAGGACATGGCTTGGGCTAGAAGATCAAAGTCTTGGCCTGCTGCTGGAGCGGGCATAGATGTAGGCGCATCTTCCGAAATTTCTTCAATCTTCATTTTGAGTAACGATGGTGTTGAGTATGACGTCCAGAAGGGTGCAAGAAATGGGGAGAAAAAAATTGGAGGGGAAATTCATGAGACTTCCTTATCGATAAATTATGGGGTAAGCACATGGCGATAAGTACGTTTGCCGAAGTGGAAGAATAATGTCACATGTATGGAGTAGGGCAGATTAAATGGTCAAAGAGTGCAAATCAGTCACATCAAATCATTTCAATCTCTGTAAGAGTACAATTGGTTCGCAAACCTGGTTCGCACAATTGTTTCATCCGAAGTTTAGTCAAAGATGGGACAATAAAATGATGAAAACACCACTCTTCAGCCCAATATGACATGTGAAGGTAAGACGTAACTTTTATTACTCAATTTACATTGAGTGTGGACATATTGTGGACATATCATTACTAGAACGAGAGATTGGTATGTATCTTCATTTCAATCTGGGGTAAGAGGAAACCTTCCATAGGTACAAGAAACCTTCGATAGTGTAACATGTTGCTACATTCATGAACAGCAGGTCAACTCCTCACAAAGACTTCCGCAAACCATCTGACATTTCTCGTCCGCACCAGTTCCAGTCATGATTACTCCGCTTGATGCTTCAGCCTGTAGCGTTACACTATGAATACCGTAAGCGTGCAAACATTCCCTAATTAGCTTGGCTTGCTTCATGAATGCTTTGATGTCCGTCTCAGTCGTAACAATATGGGCTGACGCGACTGTTTTCCTTTGGCATAAACTCCATATGTGTAGCTCGTGGATAGACAGAATGCCGGGAATATTTTGAATATCGTGCTTGATGTCTTTGAGGTTTATGCCAGATGGGGCCGATTGTAGCATTATTGCACCAGCATTTTTGACTTTCGGATGGTTAGCATAGTATGGCTTGAAAACAAAAGATGACATTGCGGTGACAACATACTTATCGGAAAGGAGGAGAAAATTAGCATCATTGAAATACCCATGCTCACTCCTGGATCTGCATAAAATCTGCCACCGTACTTGGTACGCCAGATAACCAAAGCAGCTATGATTACCCCTATGTTGTTTATGGCATCCATGATAACATGCAGCATCACCGCAAGATGGGCTAAATCTTGAGGCTCCCTTTCGTCTTTCGATGGTTGAATCTCATGGCGATGGCCTTTATGGAGGTCTTCTCTGATATCCTTGGAGGTACCCGAAGTGGACATACAAATAGTGGTGGCACATAGAGTGTCAGAGCTCATTTGTTCAATGTCAACGGTACTAGGAATGGATATAACACGATTATGATCATGCCCGTGGTGATGCCCATGGTGATCATGGTCTTGATAAATGTTAGCAGAGGCCTGTACAGCTTTAGAATGTCCACATGCCGTGTAGGAAAACAGCACTAATAATGTTTAGGGTGAGCCCGGCGCAGCCAATGATGAGCATTAATTTGGGATTCTTGACCTCTATATATGGAAAGTATTTAGATTTGAAATTTCGAGTGTTTGGAGAATCATACTCTCTAGATAGACGAAGCGATCGATAGATTGCAATGCTATGCTGACGCCTAAAGCAAGCAAAAAGCAGCCATTAAAGAAAGCACCCAGCAGTTGTGCGCGTTGCCAACCGAACGAGAGGGAATCGGGAGAGTCAGGGCGTTGGGATACCTGCGGCACATCGTCAATTCGGCTCAGAAGCGAGAAGATGGTCAACAGATCACTTACTCTCAAGGCAGCCAAAGCGACTATGAAGCCGATCAAATCATTGAGCTGGGTCTTTTAGATGGAGTCCCACAGGAACGGAGTAGGAAGTAGACCAAACATAGGCGAAGGGCAAACAGTTTGCTAGATTGCCGGGAGAAACATACATAGTGAAAGGCATCCGCTACCAACGCAAGGGATTTCGTATAGAAACCAACTATAGTCACACAATTTAGCTCCCGCTGTCGAAACCAAGATGGATATTCATTGTTAACATACTTGATAACTCAGCCAGAAAGAAAGACGTCGATATGCAGATGACAATGGTCAACCTTTGGCCTTTAGACAACGCCATTTTTCTCCTTGAAACAAATTTAGGAACCAGAAAGGAGTTTTGCAAAATCGAGGCAGATAGATGAGTCAAAAAGCAAACCAGATATGCAGTGAGCTGTCAAATAATTCTCCGAAGCGTTGAAAGTTTTTATACCCGTCACCCATAATCGCTTCCTGTGATTGTGACGATACAGCACTCCACAGCAAGCGTCTAGGCATGGCTAGTTACACTTGACAGCCCCCCACAATGATGCTAAGAAGGACGAGAAAGGCAGTTGACCATGTAACGATGTATGGCTGCCATCACACGGCTAACGGGAAATTGCATTGACGTCTCTGTGCCATCTGGTTCTTGGAAAGATGTCTGGATAACATGGCACCGGACTTCATCTGGTCTGATGTAGGTACCAGTCAATGAGTTACAAGATATGTCTGTAAAGTTGAATTGGGAAAGCGAAGCTTTGAAAATGCTTGGTAAAGAGGGGAAACCGATGAAAAATGGATAGTAGCTGGGACGTAACCACCAGACGGTAACTTGGTAACCGTCGGGAGTTGCCATTGTAATACCTGATACTATCTCCACCTACTTGATGAGATAAATAGGTACATGAGATTCCTGACAATGTTGATTTGTGGTTGGCCTGTTTTCGTTGAGATCTTGTCAAGGGAATGGAGAGGGTAGAACGTTACAAGTTAGCCAACCCCTTTGAGTTATCATGAATTTATCTATTTATCTCCCCACATCTCCATACCTCTCCTTCATTACGGTAACCCACTCGGCAGCTCGGTAATTATAGCATTTCTACTCCAGTCTTCTCTGTCAGCCGTACTGATCTCGTCATTCGAAAGCTTAGAAATCCAATTGCGCAACTTCACTGAATTATTGACAAAATGAGGGGATATTATAAACCCCATTACTTGACCTCGAATCAAATTGCATTATTTCTTAAACACTTATCAAAGAAGCTGTGGACAATATAACATGTCCGAAGAACCTGAGAAAAAAGAGTGGCATATAAAAGGTATGTATTTCCCAATCTCAGAATCTTTTGTTTTTCCAATATCTATTCCATCCTCACGCTTTCTACAGGATCTTTAGACGCCGAATTAGTCGTGACCCCAGCCCTTCCACCTGACTTTCAGATCAGCCTTCATACACACGATACACAAGACGGAGAATCAACAATTGTTGAACTCAAAATGGGCTCTCATCCTGCTCCAAAGATCACTTTGTATACTTCCTATGATTGCCCTTGGGCTCATCGCTCTCAGATAGCTCTTGCTGAACTCGGACTGGAATTTGAGACCGTCATCATCGACCTCAGCGTTCCACGGCCACCAGAATATCTGGCTATCAACCCTCGAGGCCTCGTTCCTGCGCTCTCTTACAATGGGGAGATTCTCACTGAATCTGGAGTCATCTCTCAGTTCTTGGTAGATGCTCATCCTTCCCACTTGGAGAAGACCAGCCGTGAAGAAGGTGGTGCATTGCAACGTGCCAGATACAACTTCTTCATTGAAACCTATTTCTCAAAGGTTGCCCCACACGTGGTCAAGGCAGGAATAGGGAAAACATCGGAGGAAAGAGAGCAAGCTGCAACCAATGCTATAGATGCGATAGTGAAGGAGATTGAGCCTTTGGTTCAGAATGCAGCACCATTCTTCGGAGGCTCGGAAAAATTGACCTTTGTTGAAGTACGTGCCAATTTCTATAGCATTTCTACCATATACTAATGGGTTTCATAGGTTCAAGTTGGATCATTTTTGCTCCGACTTTTGGCATTCGCCAAACGTGATGAGTTCTTACCCAAAAGCTTTTTGACTCTAGAAGAAAAAAGCTCCAGCCTTTTGGAAATGGGCCAATGCCGTAAGCAAAGAGAAGAGCGTCACCTATATCTGGGACGAAGAAGCTACAGCAAAGAGACTGCTAGCAAGATATAAGAAGCTTAGAGAAGCTTGATTGGAAAAGCCAAAATTATGATGGAACGAGATAATTGAAATAGGTACCCAGCAGTTTGGGTCCAGTAACAAGGGTAATGCGGCGTTGATAGTAACAATACGAGCTTTTGAGATATGCCAAAAAACACCGCACCCTAAATCCCATACTTGTGCACTTTCCCCTAAGCACTTGTTCTCACAAGTGATGAAGTGATGTCAGTTTATGCATCAGTACTGTCCCTGCATGTCAGCACTACGTTGCAACTTCCGAGGATTCCCAGAGGATAAACTTTTGGTTACTGGGATGTCTCGGAAACTAATCTTACACAATAATGTCTCATGGAATAAACACATCTTTTGTTCTATGACCTGCCACAAGACTTCAAATTAAGATATAATTCATGATAGACAAGACCTCAGCCTCCTTTCGCCAAGGCGTAGGCGAATGTTCATGTTGTTACCAATGCTACTGGACAATGGTGTATCTTGTCTATCCTGTGCTTACAAAAACAATGTAATACTGTACTCTCCAGCATCGCCGGCATCTCCTGATAAAAGGCGTCAAACTATAACTACTGAGAGATGAACAATAACGTACTTTGTAATCATGAACCATTTGTTATCATCTTCAGAGGTTATCATAAAATATCATGCTCTAGTTTTAGAGATAGGTTAGCCACATGCCGATGAGGACTTTCGCTCTTCTGAATTATAGCCCCCAGCCAGCCCTACTCGGTTATCGTAATCATTCTGTTGATCGTTCGAGATATAAATTCTGATAAAAAGGGAAGGATGATGAGGCTCGATCTTGACTACATACTTAAAAATCAGCAGCTCAAAAACTCATGCAAAGCGAAGTTGATATATTATACTTGGCACTTTGCGTGTACCTGCCCAGCTTGTTCACGCGTTGTACGACATATAATCAATGAAATGATCTCAAAGATAATGTGAATATTATTGATATATAGATTGGAAGTTCGTAATCAAAAACATAGAATAAAAAGTCTCATAACATTCTTCAAAAACGTTAATAATTATTATACGATGGCCGAGACATGCTCTGCTGCTTTGCTAGTGGTTTAATTCGCATTGTCGCATGCTGCCGTACAGTGTGCAAGCGAATAAATGCACAGCCCCAGTGAGCCCCTCATAATAAGTAGCTTAGCAATCCACCATCGTGATAGCCTAACTCCTTACCTGTAAAATGTCAATGATCGCCTCACTTCACTTCAAGAACCAATTCCCAAAACTCACTTGCGACACACCTCTTTGACCTCGACAATTCCCGTATAGTAACTTCTTCGATCTTCATCACTACGTGTGAAAGTCCCAGGTGCATTCAAAATAAATCCTCGACGAAACGAAGACCCACCAATTCAGCCAAGCAAAGACCGTTCATTTCATCCATCTAGGCCCAATTCCTACCCCACGGATATTCTACAAATCTATTAGTATCACAACTGCAACCACCAACACCTTACAACTCTCTCTCTTCACTTTCGATAATCATATATCAGAAATTCTTCCGCAGAGGCTAGGATAAACCAAGGTATGTCAACCAGACAAGCAGGCAAGCTGGTTCTCGTAAAGAGAAGCGGAGTCGCATCCGTTATTACTCAAAGACAAATCGCTGACATCTGTACGTTCTCTCAGTGGATACTCGGACACTCAGATCTTGTCAAGAGCCGCGCTCTCACTCTGCGCCAGATCTATCCTCCCAACCGACATTCTAGAGTAATATCCATAATATTTAGAAGATGGGTAAATCGTGAGTACCAGATTTCTCCTTACGTCTCCCGGGACATCCAGCGCAGCTTGCACAACATGAATACCGCCGAAAGCCACGAGGCCAATGCACAAACATCAACAGCGCGCACCGCATTTCCCGAGGCTATTCCAAACCCCGAGACTTACCGCCAGTAAAATCCAAAGCTTGTGGCTTTGAACTTCGGAGTTGAAGCGCTCTGGTTAAATGTACGATGGGCGAGGAGAATATCATCACAGTATCGAATGTTGCGCACACCCAAATCACCGAATCGCCTCCAACCGCTTGGTCGAAGGATATGATAATATCTCATATGATACATTCTGAGCGCTGGCAGATGGGCTGACGTATCAAACATAGTCAATCGAAGCTCTCAGCGGAGCAAATCACCGAACTTCAGAAATCCACCCACTTTGATAAGAAGGAATTGCAACAATGGTATAAAGGTGTGCATGAAAGTAATCGCTCCTACTGAATGACTACCTAATAATGTGGTCTTCCTAGGTTTCCTGAAGGACTGCCCATCGGGCATGCTCACCAAGGAGGAATTTCAAAAGATTTACCGGCAGTTCTTCCCATTTGGAGATCCATCGTCTTTTGCAGACTATGTATTCAACGTTTTCGATAGCGACAAATCAGGTTCGATCGACTTTAAAGAGTTTATCTGCGCCTTAAGTGTCACCAGTCGAGGAAAGATGGAGGATAAACTAGATTGGGCGTTCCAGCTATATGATATTGACGGAGATGGAAAGATCAGCTATGAAGAGATGTTAGCGATTGTAGAGGCAATTTACAAGATGGTGAGTACCCTTCAGCCTCCTATCCTGATAGTCACGTGGTTTCTTTTGGTGCCCATATTCCAAGTGGGCATGCGCAGGTGGTGTTCTGCAAGCTTCGTAGCGAAAAACTTACCAGCGATGATATCCTCACCACCTGGACCTTCGTCACATTTGTCTGTATGACTTGTGCTGTGGTAGCTCTAGGAGAATCTTTCAGTTCCTTCGTCTCTTGTGATGATTCCGAAGTGTATAAGTATTGACTAGCATTCATGTAGGTTGGCTCTATGGTCAAGCTTCCACCTGACGAGGACACCCCTGAGAAGCGAGTCAAGAAGATCTTCCGCATGATGGACAAAGATGAGAATGGCAGTCTGGATATGCAGGAATTCAAAGAAGGGAGCAAACGTGATGAGACAATTGTATCCGCCCTTTCGCTCTACGACGGTCTTGTTTAGCACATCTTTACGGGCGAATTTCTTTTCGGTGGTGAAGGGTCAGAGGTGCGTCAAGGGAATTAGATATCTGGAAGTAGTTTGGGAGATCTTCCTGGATCTCCACCTTCTTTATACTTTGGATCATTTGTACCTTGATCATCCGCCAACTATTTGGGCGGTTTATGTTTTGGAAGGAAGTGTTGGTAGTTTAAGCGTTGCGTATGGTACCGGGAAGTTATCTCCTGGATTAGATCCCTAGGATGGGTCAATTGATTAACCACATATACTGGTATAAAATAAGAACTCTTGATGTACTCGTTGTCAGTAATAATAATTTGTGACGTGTGTGGTATTGAATGGGTGGTATTGAGGTACTTTTTCTTCCTGTGGAATCCAACGTAAAGATACTGCATGCATCTGAATCTGTTATAAAACATAAACGTAGAAAACAACGACGCTCAATTCTAGAGAATTTGAAAATCAGTCTAGGTTAGGTTGAGACGGTTGATCTACTAATCCATCAAGGTTTCCTTTGTAAGATTACATTGATAAATACACTGCGATGGCTACGAATCTCAAGTTTCGCTTCAACACTAGGACCGGACAGTGGATAGGTAGAATTATTTCACTTCACCTTCTCGTCTGATATTACAAGTTGATAGATTAAAAATGAATTTTGGTATTTTGTTATTGGTTATTAGTTAGCCTTGCGGTAGGTAAGTTAAGTTAGTTAACTGGCAAGATCTGATCTTGGGTTGTGGAGGACAGTACGGCATTCTCAACTACCTAGGTATTTGGGTATTGTATTTTACTGTGTTGTATTGTGTGGATTTATCTAACTTTGTAAAGGTATAGGCGGGATAGTTTATACATGGCTTCGTTGATACAGTTGATAACTTAGCTACACATCCACACACATAGCTTCGTCAATCCCTCTAATATCATAAAAACACATCGACAACAACTTACACACACCTCTTCGTCAATCTCAGCCAACTTGAACTCAAATAACACCAACATTCATTCAATACAATAAACACTATCTACACCATGTCGCTATCCAAACCCATACAACACTGTCCAGCAAACTGCAGAGGCTGCGCAACCTTCGCAGCATTCGGCGGTAGCAATTTTCCTCCTCAACTACCTGGCTCGCCACTAGCTAAGTGCTACGAGTATGCTCTAGAAGCAGGTATTATATGCACGTCTTCAGATTCGAATTCGAATGGGGATTTGGTACCTGCGCCTTTATTTGTACCGCCTAAGTCGGCGAGACGTGCGGTTGGTAGATTGCTTGCTTCTGCTCCTGCTGCTGCGGCTGCTGCTGCAGATTTCATGGAGGAGTTTCAGAGACAGATTGTGGCGGCTGAAGCGCAAGTGGATGGGTATGAGAAAATATTAGAGGGGATTGTTTCTGAGCAACTATTGCAGCAACGAAGAGCTGAGTATACGGCTAGAATTAAAGTACCACATATTAATCATGCGACGAAACCGGAACAAAAGGTTGCTAATGATACTTCATCTGCTTCTTATTCTTCTTCACTTGAGGCGAACCTATCTGAGGTTGAAAATTCTAGTTTTCCTCTTGGTCATACGTTTATGCCGCCGGGTGTTTTTCCGCTTGCCAATGACCCTCTGTTCACAGTCGCAACACATGGAGATCGACGCGCGACGACGTTTGTGGGTTGGTATGCGGTGCGCTTGTATGATGCGGTTCGAGCTTCGGGGGTGGATGTGCGTGTTTATGAGCTAAGAGGGAAAAGGGAAAAGCCGGGCGTGAAACGTTGGATGTGTAGTTTGGGGATGGATAAGGATATGTCTAGGGTGAAGAATATATTGGATAAGGGAAGGGATGCTGTGGTGGCGGCGGAGAAAAGCAACATTAGCGCGTTGAAGTTGTTGAAGGATTATGAGATAATGAGTAGGGCGGTGGAGAGCAGGTTGGATATGCAGATTGCGTATCGGAATGTAGAGCAGCTCGTTGTTGATAGCCAGGAGGAAGAGGAGAGTCATCAGCCGTTGATGGATGGACCGTTCAATGACGAGGCTATACGTAGGATGGTTCAAGAAGTTCTTGATTTCAAGTTCAGCCCTCTCGATTGGGACGGCCCGGACTGGATTGGATGTGCAGCGAGCATTTTCTACTTACCACCGCGACAAAGGCCATTGTGGGGTTCTAACATTAATGGGCTTGTCACCGACGATCCAAGCGACGAGACGCCGTGTACAACATATGTCCGATTGGCGCCTCCAAAGCCGATGGATTTTAGCTGGTATCATAGACGTAACGAAGAGGAAAGAGACAAAGCGAAATATGAATGGCCACAACAAGTTAGATGGACGATGAGTGATGGAGTGATTCTGGAATTTTCGATGGATCAAGTATATGATAATTTGACTCATAAATTCTCGGTGATCAGGAAGCGCCTCATAGAACAAAAGGCTGCCGCAGATAACACTTTGATGGGGATTTGGTCATCATGGCAAAACATGGCGAAAGGAATGAATATTTTTGGATGGTTTTGGGACGAAGAAAAACGCATATTGGTGAAGGGTTATAGCGGACACAATGATTATGAGAAAGACTGCGATTGGATTGATACAGAGATGGATAACTGGAAAGGAAGTGTAGAGGAATGGTTGGAGGCCAGACATGGAGCTGCCAACTCTAGCAACCTTACCACAAAAGAACTTCGACATACTATGATTGGCGATCATCTATTGAGGCAATGGAAAGAAGGACCGGGAATCATGGTTTCGAAAACTCCAAGCAATGAAAAGGTCGAAGGATGTCTTTTGTGTCCTCATACTACTGATAACGCTTCGCATATCAACTATCTCACTGCTCGCATTGCCGATGCAACCAGACAGCGAGCGAAGCTTGAGAGAGACTGGTTTTTTGAGAGGGCGACTGAGGATAGCTATAGGGCTAGGAAAGAGTTGATTGAACACATGGAAATGTTGGAGACCTTTAAATTCGAGATGGGAGAGAAAAATCTTCGGGAAGAGATACGAGGCAAAGTCAGATCTTTAAGGACAAAAATACAAGAAGGGAGCTGAGTTTGTGGGAAAGGGACTGTCAAGAAGAAATGCGTTTATGGGAGAGGAAACCGAGAATAAAGAGAGATGGCCAGAGCCCAAGTTCTAGGAAGTGGTGAGGATCTCAGACAGTGGATAGAATTGAGTGAATGGAAGAGATGTGTAGCTATACTTCTGCATGAACGTTGAATTGGACAGGTAGTCGGAGAGATACAGATATTCGGGGCGTATGAATGGAATGTTTTGATCGTTTTGCCATTTGTTTTGAGCATTCTATTCTCTGAGTTGGTCATATGTGTAGACTTACATAGATACCGATAGTAATGAATATGAACATTCTTTGAGTATAATCTTCCTTCTTTGCCATGCTTTCAATAAGTAGGATTGTTTGTTTGTCTTGGACAATGCGGCGTAAGCTATACTTATATGTAGGTATATGTTGACCTCCTGGGATCTTGGCAGCATATGCATATATATTGCATGATGCATATAAGAAGCAAACAAAACTCAACTTTTAATTCATTCTTTCCTTTTTGGTATACTGTTTGTTTGCTTTCAATATTTTGATTTCAAAGCACTTTAATTCCGAAGGCTGAATACCTAACCTTATTCCTTCATTTTTTTTTTTTGAATATATACTCGCAGCTTAACTGCTTAGCTAGAGAATCAATCAATTCAATCTGATGCTCTTTCTGGTCTCAAGAAACCCAATAGTATATCTTACATAGGAAAGGTAATAGTGAATATGAATGTTCGCCGAGTAGGGTGTTTCTCCCTTTTGTGTTTTTGCATAAGCAGGGCTGATCAATTGCCTGTTTGTCTTGAAGATTTCAAACTCGGGCTAGTTATAATTATACGCACGTTTTTAGCCGTGGTCCTTCTTTCTTCCCCTGATGTTTCTTTCCAAGTGAAGTTGTTGTTGATCGTCATGATAAATCTATTTTCAGAAGGCGGTGTAAAAGTATCGACTCGGCCGTTTAAGTCTTAGCTCCGATATCATGTGTCACCATGAACCTCGGAGAAGGATTTCCTCTTAACTAAAACATCCTAACACAACCAAAAAAGAGATCCTTGACGATAAAAAACACGATGAATTGGTTTAAACAGACGTGTGCCTCTCCCTGATATTGATAAAAGCACAAGCTAAAATTAACAGACTCGCAAATGTCGTAGGAACTGAGGAGCCCGAGTATGGTTCTGCAGGCATTCGAACGGTGACAGCTCAGGCTGAGAAGACTCCATACACAGAGTTGACGAAGAAAGATTTGCAATGGAAGGCTCAAGAGAGTACAAATGTAGAGACTCAGACCTTCTATATGATCTCAGATGAGGGTAAAGTTGCATCTGTTCAGATGATTTACAACAATGTTGCGTACGTCTGATCCATGCAATCACGAGATGTATTTAGCGTCCAGGTAACATTACACTGACACCGGATGCAGCGGACTTCGAACAACTTGTCAGCTCAATGTGGAAGTATTCAACCACAAAGGTCCCGAACAATCTGACCATCTTTGGCTTTCTGATGCGCTCGAAAACTATGGCTTCGACGAAGAAATGGTTTCGTTCTACGCCGACGGGCTTTCAATTGCTCTGAATGAGGCTGGTGACGAGTACACTATTAAAGCCGCTCGTAATGAGTCTGGGCTTGTCAATCTTGTATTCAAGCGAGCAGCTCCTGGCTTCCAGGTGGGAGAGAACGGAACCACCTATTACGGTACTGACCCCGCCGCACCCTGGGGAGAGATGAGGCATCGTTTCTGGCCTCGATGCACCGTCAGCGGGACAATTACCACACCTGAGAAGAACTATGACTTCAAAGGACGCGGTATTTTTATTCACGCCATCCAAGGCATGAAACCCCACCACGCTGCAGCAAAATGGAACTTTTTGACTTTCCAAACGCCTACCTACTCAGCCATCATGATGGAATTCACAACCCCGGCCTCTTATGGTCACACCTCTGTGAATGTTGGGGGTGTCGTAAAGGACGGCGAGATCGTATACGCTGGTGCTACCAACACTGTAAAGCATACTGAGTCAAAGGAGGACCCAGAGACTCTTTGGCCAGAACCTGTTTCGGTGGAGTATAAGTGGGAAGGCAAGAGTAAATCTGGCGATTTCACTGCACTTTTGAGTGGACCGCTTGGGGAAAGAACAGACAGAGTTGATATTCTATCCCACATCCCCAGTTTTATCAAATCGGTTGTTGGAGGAGTTGTTGGAACTAGACCCTTTTGTTATCAGGTAAACTATCCTACTGCTTTTACTCTCATCTAAGCAACTGGCTTAAAATTTTCCAACTCTAACATATTTCTAGTGGGCTATCCCTCCAACAGATTCCCTTGTTCTCAAGATCAAAGATGGCGAGACAGTTGTAGAGGAACAAGGAACGCTCTTCGGCGAATCAACCTTCATTTTGTAGTAGCGGCGCGAAGTATTCTTTTCTCAAGATTAACGGATAAGAGCCTCGCCATAATATAGAAGTTGGTAAATGTTCATATCCGATTTTGGATAATGTGCATCACCACTACATTCGTTTACCTGCTCTTGCATTCGCACGAGGAGCCGCGAAGAAGGGCTTTTGATTGGTTCTTTTTTCACTACTTTTCTTTACGACTCGTTTCCTTCAGACTGAGAATGGTTTTAATCGGATGATTTGCAAGGTTATGAATGGCATTGGGACTGTTATGATTTATTTCAGCTTATTAGAATATGATTGCAGTACCACAAGTGTTACTCGTTATGATATGATATTATTTGAGTGATAGGCGGATGAAAAATCCTCAGCCGTGGAACAACTGATTTTCTTGGGGATTTTTTAAGCTAGGGAAGCATTTCCCTGCACATACACTTTTGCCTTCTTAATTCACCTGGGTACCGGATCATTGATGTTGATCGTTTGTGTTGTGATTAGACATGAAGAGGATGGTAAAACATCCAAGACACCTATCCGGAAATCATAGAGGTGCCAACGAGAACCGCTCACATCGTAACATGATAGTTACCTAGTCTACGTTCTAATGTTCCAATGTGTATTATCATTCCCACGTATTTTAAATTTCACCTCGATTTTAAATACAGAGATTCACTTCATTGATGAATTGCGAGACTAGCTAAAAAAGCCGTATATCTCCTATCAACCTAATGACCACTCGTAGCAGCCGCCTTATCTTTAACAATCTTCTGCACAGAAGGTCTCTCCATCAATCTCTTATTCCACGCAAAATAATGCGGATAATTCTTCTCAATCTCCAATTCTCCAACTCGATCGCCGAAAATCCACGGGATAGCCATATCCCATGGAACAAACGACAAATCTGCAAAAGTGCACTTATCACCCACTAACCATTCTTTTCCGTTCAAATGTTTGTCCAGAACATAGAGCACTCTCTTGATTTGCTCGAGATATCTCTCAATGGCGCTATCTATCTTCTCGGCGTGGAATTTGGTAAACCAAGCTGCTTGTCCGTAGTAGGGACCTTGGCCGGACATTTGGAAGTGCAGCCATTGTTTTACTTGGTAGCGCTCTGGGGATGAGGTGTAGGTTAGTGCGGCGGTGTGGTCGTAGGTATCAATTAGATATTCGATTATAGCGCCGGATTCCCAAAGTGTAACGTCGGTGTTTGGGTCGGTGATGGCGGGGACGCGGCCGTTGGGGTTGATTGTTTCGAAGGGCTCTTTTTTGAGGTCGGCCATTTCTAGATGGGTGGTGTTAGTGGATTTCACATGTTCGTCATGATCATGAAGGTCCAAATTTGTTTTTAAATTTCTCTTGCATACCAAGTCCATTTGGTATGTTGACTTTGTCCAGAATGTTGAATGCACTCTTGATGTTTAAACCTGCTCAAAAGATCGACAACGCTTCAACTTTGAAGCATCTCAATCAGAATGACAGCCTCGTGAACTCTGAACGAGGTTTGCGTGAGAAATAATGAAACAGGCACGAACCCATAAACTTGTTGATATATGGAACCTTGAGCTCCTCAAGAATAATGGCCACCTTCCATGGGTTTGGGCCGCCTCCTATTCTTTTGTCAGTATCCTTCCTGGTATCTCCATTCCACTAGCATTGACTTACTGTGGCCATAGAGAGTAATTGGTTGGCTCATGTTGCTGAATTGGATTTGTATATAGTACGTGATATGTGAATGAGTTGAAGCGGATTGTGTTTTTGCAAGGGAATATATATAAATATGAAAAGCTTTCCCCCCGTATATACGGATATAGCGACTAGTTCCCCATCTAGTGGCGTTGAGCTCGGACAACGAGTTGTAACAACCCTTCTCACAGGTTTCATTTCCATAAACCGAAGAATTGCCATTGATATAAAAATTCTTCACTTGATTTAACTTGTGGACCCAAGATCTTCATGACTGATCACTCCGCAATCAAGAATTTCAAACGACGGCTTTAGCCCGCGGACAACTAGTCAGCATTATTAATCCCTAGTAAATCATCGTAAACACATTGATACAAGTGGATCATTTTTCTCCGAAAAGAAGGGCGAAGGACGGTGTGGATCCTTTGGGGAGGGATGCCGTAACGGAGTATATGCATGACAGTTTTCAGAATAAATGTATGATGATGTTAGTTGGTGTGGCTGTTGGAAAGCATAGAATCCCGGAAAGTCTGTCTCTAAATGAAAAAGAAACCACTTTGGCTGAACAGCTGTCTGAGGAATGAACAGCCGGCTCTTTACCATGCATAATGGTTCACTGTCAAGCTACAGCAATACATAGCCCTGCTGTTCCACACTATTCTAGATTTTTCGTATGAAACTTTGCTCCTCTAAGGGGTGTTTAAAAGCAAACAACCATAATACTAGGTTGTGATGGATATAATGAATTATTTGTAAAGCTCTTGCTAAATGTATCAATACTTCCTAGCTTGGTGTCGATATTGATGTTGATGCTAATGTTGTGATGAACAAAAGAATCTCGCAAAAGATCAGATCTGCGGCATACATGATGACTAAGCAATAAGAGCAACATCAAACGGAGGGTTCTCCTTCCCTTTCCATGACAAAACCATTCCACAAATCAGATCAACAGAAAGACTCTCTAATATTCAACTGTGGAATAATTGGGATATGGTAGTAAGACAAGTATCCCGTCATATTCGCTTTCAAGTGTTTCTATTCCGCAACCTTCAATATCGCACCATGACTTTTAACACTCCCTCAAAAAAGCCCATCCGTTTTGGGAAATTCGAAGTCACAGATCAGGCAAGCTTCAGATGGGTAGGCCCAAAAATGGTGCTCTAGGTTTTCTAACTGTCATTCCAGATCTTTCACAAATCTACCCATTGCTACTGTCTCGTAAACATCAAGCCCATTCTCCCAGGTCATGTGCTCATCATCCCCTACACCCAGCATCCACGCATGACCGATCTTTCACCTCTTGAACTCAATGATATCTTTTCTACTACCCAAAAAGTACAAAAGATGCTCGCATCTCATTATTTTCCCGATGGAAACCCCAAGGAAGGATCTTTCAATATCGCTATTCAAGACGGACCGGAAAGCGGGCAAACGGTACCACATTTTCACTGTCATGTTATACCGAGAACAAAGGAAAGCAGAGTGATTGGAGATGGTGTCTATGCCAAGCTGCAAGGGGAGGAAGGGAATATTGGTGGGGCACTATGGGATAAGGCTGTGGAGTTGGGGAAGAGACCGGTGCAAATGGGGAAATTCCCGAGGGTGGATGATGAAGATAGATTGCCAAGGAGGTAAGTTTTTATTTTGACCTAAATTGTCTATTCTCGTGAGGTTTTCTTTGAGAATGGATCTGAATGTCTCAGAATGGCTTACTGATTAATCTTCTGTGGGCGTAGTATGGAGGAGATGACCCAGGAGGCAGCTCTCTTTAGGGAACAAATGGAAAAGTTAGGGTATAGTGAGGTGGAGTTTAATGATAAATGAACATCACTCGATATCATAGAGTTACAGCTCAATATATAGCTTGTGGTATTTTTACGCTCATCCCAGATCTAGTGATCTCCGGACTACCCAGGATCAAAATTGGTAAACCAAGTGCGACTGTTGCAATACAGGGATTTAAGACGAAACACGGAAGAAGGACAATGGGGATGCAGAAATAAATGCAAAAAACATATGTGGAAGATGCCTATCTAATGAGGGGCTTTCGTACAAATAAGCACGACACAATATCGGTATATAATCCCGTCCTACCGGCAGCAAACCCTTCATCAGCTCCATTGCTGCTCGTGGTTATCAAATTTTGCCCTATATTCTTCCATGTTCATATAAATCATTAACTCGATCTTCCCATATCATTAAGAAATCTAGCTCATACAAAGCCAACGAATCTCACAAGGACGATCAGTGGTGCTTAGATGGCCGCGCTTTGCAATCACAAGATCGCTCTGCGGTGAAAGTGGAAACATGTTAACCAACATCATCGTCCCTCAATCTCAATTTCGGAAATATCCTGGGAATTGTTTAATAGAAGTTGGATCTCAGATCAAGAATCTTTAGGTTGTGAGCCGACTCCAAGTGATAATTATGTTCAAGTGAAATCTCGGCGGGAGCTTGCTCTCCTTATCAAGATTTGATTGCTATTGTGTGTATCCAGGTGACAAGTGTGGCGAGGCAAGCTCACGCAATAATGTAAGCAAGGAACTATATTAAATAGTCGTATCAACTGTTTGACCTTTGAGTCCTAGAATGACTATCCGTATGAGCGCTCGATATTCCTTGTATCCAGACGGATGCTCCCGCAATATTCCTTCTCGTACATCCTTTCTACTGGGCATGTTTGTTCAGGCACGCTTTTGTGGCTCTATACTTAAGCTGATTTAGACACATTGCGGAATATACGACCTTTACTCATCTTTTTCTCGTCCCGATTTGAGTAAGGACTTTGCAATTCCATCCTTTCCACATTACCGTTATTACTCAAAGAAAAAAAAAAGATTCAAAATGCACTTCCTACGACTCCCCACCACATCCATTACCCTCATCATATTTTAACTCCCTCAAACCATTGCAAACCCATTGGCTATACGCCTAATATATTCATTCTTGGCATTAGTACCCAGTTTTAAGCCCTTTTACACGGCACAAATTGAGGCTATGAATAGTCAATCAATTTTCCCTTCCGCGCATCATATACACCCTGCTCTAGGCTCACTCTCTTCTCTTTACCTCTCAGCTTTTCCACCGAAACTTGTGTTTGTTTAGTCAATAAGTTGAATTTTTTAATTCTAGAACAGGTGGGTTATCAGATGGGATAGAGGGTGTATACTTAGTGGTTGATTTGTCACGGGGATATCAGATAGTGTAGAGAAGGCAATTAGAGAGATTGCTAGCTTAGAAATGGGGAGGAGCAGGTGCGTGAAGAATGATGGGTTATGTTTAGAAGGTCTGGTGATGAAGGGTACGAGATCAGGGCGATGCAAAAGCAATATTGTGTTGGATATTTGTGATAGGGTGAATCTTGATATTGAGATCTGAGTACAAGCATCCGTTTCATGGATGAAGAATTTCTTTATTTAGAGGTCAATTCTTTGGAATTGAGACAATTGTGACACTTAAATTTTATACAATTCTCCCTATTATATACCAAGAAGGCAGTATGAGTATCCCAAATCACAGACCTGATCTTCGTAACCGATCCCGTAACTGACTTCATATAATATCAGTGCCAAACTACCTTTCCCTCGTGAATGTGTCTATTCCTGCACCAAAATTCACCATAGGCTAGTATTTTATCGCATCCCATATTTTCCTTCTTCTCCTATTCTTCTTTTTCATATCTAAGATGATCATTCAAACAACAAGGAAAAGCAGGACATTTGATAGTAAGAATGAAATACTATATATCTATTATTTCAAACCTATTACTGTCTCCGCGTACATACTACATGAAACAATGATGAAAATACCCAACCAAGACATGGGTATCCCCGACTTCCTAGAATTAGCAACAAATCCTCGCTTACGCAATAGTGCTATACTATTGCTAGGTGCTGGAAGAATCATGATCAATTTACATATCTCCAAAAATAAATCGGGTGTCGAAGCGTCAGTTTATCAGTCAAAATTTATATATCTAATATTACGAAAAATATTTTTCACGGTTCCTGTTAGGGGCTCACTATTGTAGGTATACTTAAAGTGTGATCATTCATCCATCCTGTTGTTTGGGTTTTATTAAGATATGGGATATACCGCCTCGCAGGCAGATGAAAATCAAACATAAAAAACTTACTAGCTAACTACAGATTTTTTGTTTGGCTGGTCAAGATCATAGAAAAAGATACGTAAGTAAATAATAAACTCAGGAACATAGAATCTCATATCATCCAAATTCCATGCCTGAGACTGAGAAACAAATTACTATCTCTTCTTTCTCTTTCTACTTCTCCTTCTCCTTTTCCATCCAGTGGCGTAAATCCACACAAATTTCCAAATAAGATGTTATAAAGCAGAAAGTCACATAATATACCCTTCCTTACCGTACTGAAGACACCATTACAAATACAAAAAAGCTTCAATTAGAAGAATTCTAAAAGTAATAATTGTGACCAAAAGGGTGTTTATAGACCAGCAATTGTATTTAACTTAGAATCTACAGGTGAAGAGCACCTGTAGATGGGGATAGCTACTCTATATATACACAAATGAATAGCCTAGCCGCAATGGCTAGGCAAAAAGAAGTCATATTTATTCCTCCAATGATCTTACTTTACCGATAACCATTGATACCTAGTACTTGTCCGGATCTGATCCTCAGGTCACCTAAATCGTATACTAATCTCGAGTAATCGTATCATGTGTGGACATGGTTAATGTACCTGAGGTTTCTTATATAATAAGGGTGGGAGGAAAGCAGGGATTTCCGTCACATAATATCTTCAGTAAAGTATTGTAATAATAAATAAGACTGGCCTGACCTAGTTTAAAAAATATAAATATAATTATTATATACTTAATATTTTATAACCAACTTGTTACGACGGCTATCTTCTACGCCGCGTCACATGACTAAACCAAGGTAACGTGATTAAGTCACGTTATGGACCGCTGCGCGGTCCTGACTAGCCATAGGCATGAAGGTCTATATAATCAAGATGGATTTCCTTTGTATAGAGCTTCGTGCTCAAGATCAATCATTTAGTATACTCTACTATTAGTTACGAATTGCATTATTGTCATTACTTTAAGTCCCTGCTTGACGCCTAGTTATAAACCACCTCGAGAGCCTAGAGTACTTCCACGTGATCTAGACGGCAAACCTCGTAACACAACTAGTTAATAAAAATCCAAGATTTCAAATTCAATCTAAAAGAATTATAGTAATATTTTTTTAATAACTCAAAACAAAATATAATCAAATTGTTAAAAGGAATAGAAGTTACCGGTACTAATCACGTGTCGTGATTAGTAATACGGTTACCTAAACAGGCTAGATTAGACGAACCATAAGCAGGCATATTGGTCCCCTCAGAGGATATCAAGAGGAGATTAATATGCCTACACGCGTAGTAATATAATCAATATAGAGGCCTCTTCCACCCAATCTTTTGATACAAATTAAATTTATTAGAATTTGTTAATTGTTAAATATAAATATAACTATTTGTGACGGAAATCCCTGCTTTCCTCCCACCCTTTTGGTCATATTATTTTTTTAATTAATAAAAAGAAACCTTTAGTTATTTCACAAAATCTAATAATTTACATCACAGGATTTATTAATTACAATAAAATTATTAATAACGTAACTTATAGTGAACCGGGTCATATGGGGAACCGGGTCATAATTAGCTCATCACTAACTTCAAACTATAATAATTTTTGCTATGCGTCTCGAACCACCTCTTACACCTTCTCAAATTGAAGAGAAGATACAGAATGCTATTATTGCACTTCAATTAAAGGAATTTAATTCAATTAGAAAAACTGTAAAGCATTTTGAAGTTCCTAAATCAACTATTGGGTTTCTTTAGACCAGAAAGAGCATCAGATTGAATTGATTGATTCTCTAGCTAAGCAGTTAAGCTGCGAGTATATATTCAAAAAAAAAAAAATGAAGGAATAAGGTTAGGTATTCAGCCTTCGGAATTAAAGTGCTTTGAAATCAAAATATTGAAAGCAAACAAACAGTATACCAAAAAGGAAAGAATGAATTAAAAGTTGAGTTTTGTTTGCTCCTTATATGCATCATGCAATATATATACATATGCTGCCAAGATCCCAGGAGGTCAACATCAACTCTTATAGCTAGGATCGCTAAAAGGAAATCATATACCCAATCTTACAAAATAGCTCAAATTCTTTTAAATACAGAAGAAAATACATTAATATAATAGATCTTACATTCTACTATTACTAAATTCCTTATTATACCTATATTATTGAAGGAAATAACTGATGAAATTTGTATTCAATATATCCAAGTTGCATTCTCTTCAAACCTTATCTCGATAAATATTCCACTTATAAGCCACAAATGGATCTATAGGTTCTAAAAACAATATCCAGAACTTAAAGTATATTATTCACATCAATCAAAGTCTAATCAAGTTAAAAAAACAACTTCAGAAAATATTCAGGCTTGGTTTGACATATTCCAAATGTATTTTATTAAGCGAAGGTATAAATTAAATAATATATATAATATAGATGAAATCGGATTTACAATCGAAGATATTCAAAGTATTTGTATTATAATTGATTCTACTCAAAAATCGAATTGGAAGATTATAATTGATAAACAAGAATGAATAACTATACTTGAATATATTAGTGTAATTAGGAAGGCTTTATTATTTATAATCATTTTTAAAATTCAAAATATAAATACTATATGGATTTCAAAGGATACACTTCAAGATTGATAGTTCTTTACTAATACAAATGGATGAATCTTAAATAATTATAGATTAAAATGATTATAAAGGGTTTTCGAGCCAGAATCCAAGAAAGTGTCAAGTGACCAGCCTCGACTTTTAATCATGGATGGTCATTCAAATCATATTACAAACAATCTAATTGCTTTTTATGTAAAGAAGGATATCGATTTGCTTATACTACCTCTTTATTGCTTTTATTTGCTTTAACTTCTTGATATTGAAGTATATAGGCCAATAAAACGATATCATTCTTTAAAGGTCGATCGATATTCTCGAGTTAGTGTAAAGCGAATCCAAAGAGCTGAATGGGTAGAACTATTTCAAAAGATCAGAATAAAAGCAATCAACTCTTCTAATATTAAAGCTGGTTGAAAAGGAGTTGGTTTGATACCTTTTTCTCTACAAAAAGTATTTGATACATTATTATTTAACCCCTCTCAACAACCTTTTACTTCACAGATAAGAACTACCAATCAAGATCTAGACTTTTCTATACTCCGAAGTTCTCCTCCAGATGGGATAGAACTAAGGCAAGAAAATCAGATCTTTAATTCAGCTCTAGCAGGCAGTGATTCTTTTATATCACCAACTCATCGATATACCAAAAGAATGATTAGGCTTGTAGAATCTCAAAATATTGAGATAACCCTACTTCGGAAACAGCTCGCTGATGTTCAGGAGATAATCGAGACTCGAAAGAAAAGAACTAAAGGCAAAAGGATCAAATTACAAGGCTAATTTGTCTTTAGTACTGAGGAAGTATTGAAAATCGTATATAAGGCAAAGGAGAAGCCCAAGGAGAAAAGGCCACAAGGACGGCCATGTAAACGTTCAATTGAAGGATTAGAAGAAGGTACTGAAGAGGAAGAGCTAGAGAATAGTTCAAGCGATTTAGAGTTGGAATTAGATGAATGTGTAGCTCGTAGAACTAGATCGCATAGAGAAAATTGAATTTTGTGACCCGGTTCCCCATATGACCCGGTTCACCATAAGTTACGTTATAATATAATGTTTTATTTCTTATAAACCTATAAACCTCCACCCTTCCACCCTACACATATTTCACTCTGCTCGCTCACACAATAATAAATATAATACTCCCACGGAGTAGAGTCCAATATAGATCA